TCCTAGACACTAAACATGGGCAAATCACAATCTTACCTTTTAGTCCAATATTCATGAACAGCAACTTGATGCTTGATTTTACGCAGAAACAGTCCTGCTCAGTTAGAGTACTGTAAACCTAGATCTCAAACCTTTTAACAAGTCATTCTGATGTCAACAGAATCTACTTAAACACTGTTGCCAAGAGACAGCAATGGACTTATGTAGTCCTTTTAAACATTCTTATTTGTAGGATCTCCATCTAAACTAAAGCATTGTTAAAATCTTCTGTATCCTTCTCTCAATAACAGTGTTTTACTTGCATTGTCAGGAGACTGCAATCCATTTTCTTAAGTTTACTAAGCATTAAGAAGGCTGGAGTCCTAAGCCTATCTAGTTGGGAGCAAATTCAGTTCATCACACTTGCTTCCAAGTCAGCATGCTTTGAAACAAAGTATTAGGCTGTGTTAAAGCTAATTGAAAAGTTCTGATATTAAAGTTTAAGAAGCTAGTATACCTAAGTAGTTCCACTTCAAGAATGTTTCAAAGTCCAACACTGATGATTAGGTAGCACTCATTTTAGATATATGTAAAGTATACAAGTTTAAGTAGATATAAATTTACAGCAATTCACTGAAGGTAAAGATTAGTTAGATACATGTGAGAACTTTTCATAATAACAATTCAGCGTGCTAAATGTTATATTGTGACATTAAAAATTACAGAAATGCATGGAGAGGCTACGCCATAGAGGCAGAGAAGAAGAACAAGGAATTCCACTGGAATATCTAGAAAACCTTCACTATAAACATGAAACCTGGCTTTATGAGAAGACAATGAAGTAAGAACTCTCATAGCTTTGACACTTTCATTATGCTAGTTCTGCCCCCAACAACAAAAAGCCTGCCATTTTTATCATCACTGCAATCACAGTTGTTACTAGATTATTATGTTTAGCTCATTATATTACTACTTTTTCTTAAGAATGCTATACTGAAATGGCAGAAAGTGTTATCTTGCAACACAGTGGCTACATACTTCTAAAGGGGTTTTAGGTGCTGCTGGTGCTTGTTGTCTTTAGGAGATGCAACCCTAACTTGACTCGAAGTTTAAGCCACAAATTTCATAAACATAACAGTTTAGAAACTGACAGATTAACAAATGGGATGTCATTGAGATTCCTTATTTTTAAGTTAATTGATATTTCTTCCAAGTAAACACTGAACTTTGTGGATTTTGTTTTGTAGGGTGGATTTTGACAATCTTAGAGACATACCAGTTTTGGTTTTAGATGTTAATGATGATTTCAAAAATGATGAAATAAAACAAGAATACTTATTGGAAAAAGTAAGTATCTTCCATCCTATGTTTTTTAAAGCCCACGTGCTTGATTTAGCTCAATCTACCTTTTGTAGTCAGAAATTCTACGAGCGCTTAAATGGCCAATAGCTGACTCCTTTTGTTTACAACTTTATTGTTTAAACCATGGGTAGGCAAACTAAGGCCCGGGGGCCGGATCCGGCCCAATCACTTTCTAAACCCAGCATGCTGACAGTCTAGGAATCAGCATGTTTTTACATGAGTAGAATATGTACTTTTATTTAAAATGCATCTCTGGGTTATTTGTGGGGCATAGGAATTCATTCATTTTTATTTATTTATTTTCAAATTATAGTCCGCCCCCCCACAAGGTCTGGAGGATCTCTTGCATTAAAGCTTGACTAGTGTTTTATACATATGAATCAAATGCCATTAAATTAAGGTCAAATTTCCAACTCAGTTTATCAGACTGTTGCTATGAAAGTTGTCTGCTACAGGTTAGATTATCTAATGTGCAGAATGCTAAACATTATTAGCTAGCTTTTTTCCTTATGTGACCTCCTCCATGGACATATTATAGACAAACACACATGCAAATGTTTAATACCTGGTTTGGCCCTAGGGTTTTGATCAGAATTGTTTTCAATACCTCATTCACGTATCTTGTTTTTACAGGTCAAGGCTTTTTTGACAACTTAGCAACTAAAAATACCAATCTAGGAGGATATTTGGAGAAGTGTCATTTTATCTAGTGTATAACTTTGCACAGTAAACAGTCCCTGATTTCTTTGTATGGACATAAGGTGAAAGGTTGCTACCCAGCAGAAAAGAAAAGCTTTAATAGATAGATGTAAAAAGCTATTCAAGACACTGGGATCGTTTTCAGAACCAACTCATCTTGTGGTCTGAGTTTCTCTGAGGTAAAATGAGAGAATTTGTGCATCTTGCACAAATATACAACTTAGAAGAAATTCTACTCATTACTGGAAGTGTCTAAAAAGCTTACTTGAAAGTTGTTACAAAGCTGTTTTGTTCAGATACCTTGTTTTGTGTAAATCAGATATGTTTTAGGTACAATAAACATTTTGTAAATAAAACCTCTGTGAATGCCTTCATCAGAACTTGACTGCAGCAAATGTTTTCTCCAAGAGAACAAGGCCACTACATTCACAAGTACTACTGGCCATGTGCTTTCAGGAACTAAATTGAGACGGATCAGATATCTCACCAGCATGTGTCCACTCTTTGGTGCATTTAAAGCCATATTCTTATCAATACACCCATTTCTTAGTCACAGGGGTTCATAACGTAAGAACTGGCAGGTTGAGAAATGTCAAGATTTAATACTAGCAGGGTTTTTTGTGGGGTGGGGGTTGTATGAGATTATGGAGGAAAACTAAAATAGTTTAGAACCATGAAATGTATAATCTTTACCTTAGAAGCAAGTCAAAGTTCAACAGTGCTCTGGAGTGAGACTATATACAATACAGAGGAACTTTTTTATTTATACAGAAAGACAAGTTTTCCTTTAAGTTTGATTGGTTTTTCCCCTCTAAAGGTCTTACTCCTCACCTTTGCTTAGGTAGATGAAGCAGAGCAATTAAAATACTTCTAAGTAAAGGACCGCTTGGCTAGTTGAGCCTATTGCTAGTTCCATAACTGAAGAGAGGAAAGAATCGGGCATCTTGCTTAAGAGCCACTGCCACGTGCGCCCTGAAACCCGGAACCCAGCACAGCCAATTTTTTATGGCTCGATTAAGATGTCGGGGAGGCTATTATTTTTATTTTCCAAGCTGCCAGCAACACATGGCAGGGCCGTCTTCAGCAGCCACACCGCGGAGCAAACAGCGCAGTGCTTTGTGCAAGAAGACGCGCGGTGCGAGGGGGGGCGGAGGACTGGGACAAGTTCGACCCGCGTCGCGCAACCAGTCTCCGAACCGCCGTCGGTCACGTGTCGCGCTACCCTCCATTTCGGGGATTTCCACTTATCGAAACAGCTTTTCTTCCCCGCACCCACCCACTATTTACAGCGTGATCCCACCCGCAGTCCTAGAGCTAGTCACGTTATTCTTTTCCCTGCCGTCGCCTCACTATAAGCAAATAAGGATCCGACGTGGGGGGGGGGGGGAGAGAGGAAGAGAGGCGGGAGAAAGGCGGCCAACGGCCGGGCCGATTCCAGCCGTTTCCTACCGCGGCGGCCTCCAAGCGCGGCTCTACCGCCTCAACTGCCGCCTAGGCCCCGGAATGGCCGCCAAGCGCGCAGATTGGGCAACACCCACCACAATGGCGGAGGGAGGACGTGGTCAAAGGAGAGAAGGGGGGGGGGATGAGAGAGAAGAAAGGGAAGAGAAAGAAAAGGAGGAAGGCAGAGAGCATATAAAGGGAGAGGGCCGGAAGAGCTAAGGGCGCGCTCCCGCCGCTTTCCCCACTGGGGAGGCTGGTGGCGGCGAGAGGCCTAGAAAGGGAGGGATGAGAGAGAGCCTCGTTGGACTTACACAGGCAGGCAGAGCGGAGGACCGAGGCGTCTGCGCCGAAGCCCCTCCTCTCCCCCTCCCCCCTCCCCCGATCTGCGCCAGCGCTCGAAAGCCGCAGCACAGCAGCAGCAACGGCCTTAACGGCCGCGGATTCCTTCCGCCGCCGCCTCCTTGCCAGTTGGCGGCGCCCACTCACCCAGGCCGGGGATCTCTGGGCCGGTTTCTTCAGTGTGGCACGGATCCATCGCGTCGGGCCTTTTTTCCCCGCTGTTCTTTTTGTGTGTGCGTGCTCGCGCGCAAGTCTGTCTTTCCCCCGGCGACGATCAAGGCGGCTGGCGGAGTCGATCAACCGAGCGTGGCGCTAAAACAATGAAGGAAGAACACGAGAGGTGGTTAAAAAAAAAAGCCCTCGTCGTCCAGCTTCCCCAGCCGGAACTGGCGTCGCTTCCTTCTCCCCCCCCCCCCGCTTCCCCCATGGCGCACCTCAAATTAAGGAAGATTGTATTTTTGAGAAAAGGCCGAATCCGATGGCGCGCGCGCACCTCCCGCTTCCTCCCTCAGACTCACCAGGCTTCCTCGCAGTTGCTCTCCGCCTCTATAAATAACTCCTTCCCCCCACTTGTAGGCTTGTGACATCAGATTAAGTAACCCCTCCCCATTCCCGTCCAGCGGAACCAACCAATCGCTTGGCTACAGAGGAGCCGGAGGGGCAGCGTCTCCCCCATGCCTTGCTCTCCGTTAAAGCGCCAAGGCTCTTTTGTACCTTCAGGATAGGGGATCTGTGGGGCAGGTGGGGTGGAAGGAGACCTACTGCATCGACCAGCCCAGGGCTGCAGTCCCTGATCCTCCCGAGGAAGAAGCGAACGCCGCGGAACGCGCTAGGGCTAAAGTGAACACGCTGGAGCTGCGGATCGAGCCCCCTATCTTGGAGCAGCTGGAATCCTATGGACGTTCTTACTCCGTCACATAATAACTCTGCATCCTTTTCTCCGCTGGTGGTTCTGCTCCTCTGAATAGCCTTTCCATACTTAAATAGAGAGGGGCCAAGGAAGGGCAGTCAGTCGTATCCTTTCAGACCCTCCAAGTGTCCCTATTTTCTGATGTCCAGGTTTCTGATTTGATCCCGGAATGTCCCACTTTTCCTTAGGTTGTCCTTATTTTCATTGGAGAAATATTGGAGCATATGGCATTATCCAACCCCCCACCCCAGCCATCTGAAGGCAGCCCTGTAAAGGGAAGTGGTTTTTTAAAATGGTTAATGTTTTAACTATGTTTTTATCTATGTTGGAAGCTGCCCAGAGTGGCTGGGGCAACCCTGTAAGATGTGTGGGTTAAAACTAGTAAAATTGTCATTATGGAATGGGATGTCCCTATTTTCATCTGAGAAATGTTGGAGGGTATGTCCTTGGTGCAGGGGAGCCAGGTATTTCCCCCTCAATTTAGCTTCCACAGTGTTGGGCTAGGAGACTAGGGTTAAAATCCCTGCTCAGCCATGAGGCTCACTGGGGCCAGTCAAAGCCTCTCAGCCTAAACTACCTCCCAGTGTTTTTGTGAAGATAAAAAACAGAGGAGAACCATGTGTGCCACCTTGAGCTCATTGGAGACAAGTGGGATAGAAATGTGGCAAATAAATTTCACCTTTTCCCAACATTCCACACCTGACACACAATCTGTTTGCTAGCACATTGATTGCAGCTGCTAGCATGTATGTCATTTTAAGACTGGTGACAAGTGACTCTTTCCCCTCATGCTACTTTGTGAACTTCTAAAACGAACATGGGTGTAGACAGGGAGGGGCAGCTGCCCCCAAAATCAATAAAAATACATAGCTAACTGTGGTTCTGCACCCCCTAACAAAAGGCCTGCCCCCATCAAATCCTCGCTAAGCCCATGAAAAAGAATGTCTGCTGCATCACCACAGTGAAAAAGTGTCTAAAGTGTGTAGAGCAAAACACCAAGACACACCAGCAGCTGCCAACAATTTTGGCAACCTTTTGCTTTTGTTTTTTAAAGCTCTTAAAACACTGTGCTGACCTCTCCTATACTCAAGTGCATATCTTCCATAAATTAAGGCTGTGTGTGAGAGAAAGAGAAGCAGAAAATGCAAGTATGGCTGTTCCTCAACTGTGGGCCTTATCCCCCTTCCCCCATCTCTATTACATACAGCCAATTATCTCTTGATTCTAGCTCTGAACTGGCATAGTAGAGCACTAAAGTCTAAAGTCCAAGTTTGTCCACTTGCAGAAATGTCTCTGGTTTCTCTTACCAGTCCTCCTACTTTAACAAGTGAATGTACCATCCAAAGGTTAAACCAACAAAAAGTTTGCCTATCTGCTTTTAAAGACTTCCACTGACATCACCTGGTGTATGTTTGGCAGTAAGTTACATGAATTTCAGTGGGCCTTATTGCTAAGTAAGTTTGTATGGGATTGCAATCTTTGGGTTATCTCTTAAAGAATTCAGCAGGTAAAAGAATGTAAGGGGGGGTCAATTATTTGCAAAGACCTGGTGGCTGCACCTCCTAGTAGCAGCACATATGAAGAGAGCAAAGCATTGGAAGATGGTAGGAAAGTATACCATGCAGGTTTTATTCATGTGGCATGTAGCATTATCATCAGGGAGAAAGACATAGTGAGGGAAATAGGATAACTTTGTGAAGATCTGGTTCCTCTTTTTCTTATACATCAAACAGGGTAGGATGTGTCTCTCCTCTGATCATGCAGAGCTCGTTCTGGAGAGGCTCAGATGGTATATGATATAGATAGCCATGATTCCTTGCAAGTATGAGAAGTCAGAGGTTGAATTCATTGTACTCAGGCTGATGTTTTATTGTTTTGCTTTTTTTATATATAAAAAACCTGTCCCTTAGTTTAATATTTTAAAAGGCTGCCCCATTAGAGCACTTGTCAGACATATTAGGTGCAAAATATTCTATCCAACAGAGTTTGATAGCAGATACTCCTTTTAAAAACATTCAGAAAGTGTTCAGAAAGTGATGTTGGGGGATGAGTGTTCGGACCCCTGGGTGTGGGGTGCCTCAGGGTTCCGTCCTCTCCCCCATGCTCTAGTTATCTCCCATTTGGACTACTGCAGTGCACTCTACATGGGGCTACCTTTGAAGGTAACCCGGAAACTGCAACTAATCCAGAATGTGGCAGCTAGACTGGTGACTGGGAGTGGCCACCAAGACCACATAACACTGGTCCTGAAAGACCTACATTGGCTCCCAGTATGTTTCCAAGCACAATTCAAAGTGTTGGTGCTGACCTTTAAAGCCCTAAACGGCCTTGGCTGAAGGAGCATCTCTACCCCCATCGTTCAGCCCAGACACTGAGGTACAGCATCGAGGGCCTTCTGGCAGGTCCATCACTGTGACATGAGGTTACAGGGAACGAGGCAGAGGGCCTTCTCGGTGGTGGCACCCACCCTGTGGAACACCCTCCCACCAGATGTCAAGGAAATAAACAACTATCTGATCTTTAGAAGACATCTGTTTAGGGAAGTTTTTAATGTTTGAAGTTTTATTCTGTTTAATATTTTTCTGGGAGCCGCCCAGAATGGCTGGGAAAACCCAGCCAGATGGGCAGGGTATAAATAATAAATTTGTATTCTTATTCCTTATTTTTACAAAATTTGGCTCCATGCGAGTCACAGAAGATTAGAAAAGGAAAGCATTTTAAGGCATAAGAGGTAAATTATTAGTCTAGTACAGGCTTCCTCAACCTTGGCCCTCCAGATGTTTTGAGACTACAATTCCCATCATCCCTGACCGCTGGTCCTGCTAGCTAGGGATCATCGGAGTTGTAGGCCAAAAACATCTGGAGGGCCAAGTTTGAGGAAGCCTGGTCTAGTATGAGTTCTATTTTGCTTCTTAGTATCCCTCACGTGAAGTGTGAGTCTCTAATTAAACTGCTATATAGGGCAGAGAGCTGTATATAGGGCAGTGGAGATGTGCAGAAACAAAGCTTATTTAACAGCAGAGATGATGGTGGTGGTGGTGGTGGTTTTGATGATGACTCCTATGGTGCTATTTACCAATTTTCTGTGAGCCACATAAAAAACATTTTATTAAAGAAAAAACCCACTAAATCAGCTAAGGAGGGGAAGAGGTACCGGTAATATACATTTGCTTTCGTAGCTAGGGGTTATTTTGAAGTATTATGATGAACCAAAATGTAACAAAAAAATTTTGAGTCTCCATAACTTTTTATCAAGCTGAATATTATAGCAAAGTGAAATAGGCTAAAATATTGGATCCATTAGCATGACAGCTCCTACATTCTGGAACTCCCTGCTTATGATGCATACTTCTAGCTGTTGATTTGCCTGCACATAAGGCTGAATAATTAGACTTCAATTAGACTTACTTCCAATCTAAAGAGTGCTTAATTTTGGCTGTATAATCCCCACTATTTTTCTTTTTTAAAAAATCCGAAGGCACTAACGGCATACAGTGGTGAATTATATTAGAAGCTGTCTGATTAGTTGAAAGATAAACTGGATTTCTACTTATCTTTTGCCAGTTTTTCTTCTAAATAAGCAACAATCTGTTTATCCATTTGTATCAACAAGGCATGCAATGCACTAGAAATAATGAAGAAAATATAAAACAAAGCATATTGAATGTTGTATACTGTACCAGTCTGAGAGAGGGGGGGAATGTTACCAGTTTCTGAAGTACAGTAACAGAACCACAAACTGGAAAATCTATCTGAAATACAGCCTTGAATGTTGAGGGAACTGGCACTGTCCTTTCAGCTTCACCTTCTGGCTTTCAGCAACTTTGCCATATGCCCATTCCGTTCATTGCAAAGAGCAACCCTAATACCATTTAAAACAGCTGCAGATGATTTGATAAGAGCTGCTACTTATCTGAAATGGCAAAGAGGCAGAAGCCACTGCTCGGAGCCAAGTCAGCAAAAGATAAGTTTAAAGTATCAACATATAATTTTCCGAGTAAGAACGTTTCCAGTGAAATGTTGTATAACCCCAGGGATGAAGGTAAAAAAAGAGAAGCAGTTGTCACAAAGACCAAAGTGGGGGAAGAGCTTTTGAGTAAATTATAATAAAATATTGATGTGCACTGTAGTGTTACTGATTAGATTTGGATTTATGTATTTGTGAAAGTTTCTTCTGTAGCAATTCTGCCAAGAAAAGTGGATTTGACAGCACGTTCTTTTCTCCTGGGCCAACTCAACAGCTGTATCTGCCTGCCTTTATACGGAATGCTATGAGGTTTAGAAATGGAGCAGCCCAACTACTGGGTTTACCACACGTGCTGTAGCTAGGCCCTCTCAAGGAGACCTGGGCCACTTTCAGTTTCTGAGGCCCCTAGTCAGTGGTGGCTGGTGCCCATTGGACTTGGTGGGGCTGCTAGAGGCATGACCAAGTTGTTCAAAGCAGCATTCATTGTAACATGGCCATTCCAGCACTGATAAACTACGGTAATTAACACATGTAGGGGGGGGGACCCATTATCTACAGGCATTAGGATTAGATTTATTAAGAAATTGTAGCCCTGTTGTTTCACACTCCCTCTGAAATTCTTCTGTTCAAGAATGGCCCCTTTAAACTCAGAATTTCCACAGACGCTGAAATGCTCCCCCCCCCCACAGACCACTCTTTCTGATCTGAAATAATTTATTTTACTTCAGTACCGGCCTGTTCGTTCCATAGAGAATGCAGAAAGGCATTGCTGACTGATATCACATTGGAAGGTGAGCAGATGATTGAACCCTTGATGTTGGGACTGACATGGTGTTTTGTAATAGTGTTGCCTAAGTAGATAACTAGTCCAGTGTTTGTGTGCCTGCTCTGTGATTTATTGTTGCTGGCAAGTACGTAAGTGTTTTAGGTTAGGGCGCTATCTGCCTATCATCATTGATGTAGCCAGGATTTATGTTGGGGGGGTTGAGGCTTCATGTTAGAACCTCAGTTAAGTTTTTTTATTGATTTACTTGACTTGGAGGGCAGCCCCCCCCAGCTATGCCCACGACTATAATGATTATCATGTTATGTGTGCTTGTTAGTTGTGCAAGCTACCTTTTTGCAAAAGGCCTGGCCAAAAATCGTTCCCACTTCTTACTCCCAGTTCTCTACCCACACTGCACATTTTGATACATTAAGATGTTCCCCTGCTGGATCCATGCTGCTGTGCTGTAACTAGGAGTCCTGTCCTCTGGTGTTGGTGGAAAGGGAGGGCAAAGGTCAGATTTAGTTGTATGTGGCTCTCCATTCAGACAATTTAAATTACATTGCCTCTTTTGCATGTGTAACATTTCATTCTTGAACACCAGCCACAAGTAAGCATAAGATTCCAGCTAGCTTCCATTTATTCCCTACCATGCCCCAAGCCCCACATTATTTCTCCCTTTGCACCGGGGAAGTGACAGTGTGATTTCTCTCTCCCCCCACCCTGCCCAAATTGGTGTAGCATTGTCTTCCAGCAGCTCAAGGAGTTTTGCAAACAATTCTATCTCATCCAAGTAATCAGTCAAAAACAGTATCATGCAGTTCATTATAATGCAGTTCATGTATTGTTTCTGATAGCTCTGGACTTCTGTGATTACACACTGCAGTACATAGAAATGAAGTGTGAGATGGATGGGAGAGAATATTATAATTCAGCAGTAGAATTATTTCAGTGATAGCCGTGAAATATAGCCTGTCAGTTGGGATAACATATAATGGGCTAGGATATTTTGAATCACAGGTGTAAGTTGGCTTTTAAGAGGCAGGCTCTATCGAGGATATTGTAAGTAGGAAAAAGAGATCAGGTATATTTGTGACTTGTTTCAGTTATGATCCTTAGACCAAAATATAAAAGCCATGTGCTATTCCAGGGAATGGAGCAATAAAAAAATATTGATCCATCAAACGCAATCATTTTCTTCAAGATTTTATTTAATGTCTGGACATGGGAAGGCAAACTTCTTCAGAAATACAATTCTCTCTGGTCTTGGGTCCAAGATGTTTATTAAGACCGGAGCATGAGCACCTTGCTTGGCTTCTTAATCTTTGGGTGCCATGAAGTCATGTCCAGCTTTTTCTCTACTGAGTGTAGTCGTGCTGTGGTCTCTGTCAGCATGTCCATTAGCAGCTCAAGCTGCAGCTTCAAGTAATTGTTCTCTTCCAGTAGAGCTTTGTTTGCTTTCTTCAGGGCCTTGTTAGGTGATTCCTTATCATGATGAGAGGAGGAGGAATATAACTGTAGTAAGGGCATCTGTGGAGGGACACCATCACCCTGCCACGCACCCCCCTGGAAGACAAACTTGGCTTTGTTCAGCTGAGTACTTGGAGGGCCGTAATCCATCCCTAGTTCAGCTTGCCGGGTTTTGTAGTCCAACAGATAGTAAGTGGACAAAGAGGTTGTTTGGCGAAGTGTTGGCCGCCTGGGTAGAAATCTTTGAGAAAAATGGTCAGCCCAGTAATCACGCACATCCTGCAGAATTTGAGAAATGGTTTCCATGCTGAGAAGAGCTAGGGATGGAGGATGTCAATAAGAGTCCTACAGAAGAAAGTTCTGGAACAGAAAGCCAACATGTGCAGTGTTACAGAGGAGCAGAGACATCATATGGCATTGCTAAAATGAAAAAACAACAAGAAGCCGAAAATCAATAACTACACTATGACATTGAGGGGAGGAATGACAGGGAGATAAACTGTCAGGGTAACTATTGCAAAACAGTGCAATCCTAAGGTGATAGTGAGGAGCTTCCTTGGTGGAGAACCTGCCACTTCCTAAGCCCTTCTGGTTGATGCACACAAGGGCAGAAGGCTGTGTGTGTGTGTGTGTGTGTGTGTGTGTGAGATTTATTATTTGCCATTGGGAATTTTAAAGAAATAACATGTCGCCACTCCAAGCCTAAGGGGAAATAATTACACCCAGGGTGGATTAAATCAAATTGATTTAAATCACAATTTAAATCACAATTTAAATCACTAGTCAGTAAGGCTTGATTTAAATAAATTTTTTTTTACAGGAAGACTTATTCTTGCTGGTATGATCCTAATTTTTACAACAGCTGGTTTCATTTTTGGAATAATAAATTTTCAGAGTAGTTTTTACTTGTTTATCTGAATAATTTATATATTGTCTTTCTGATATACAACCTCCCAAGGGATGCATTATTGATAATGATTAATATAATCCTAGAAAAAAAAGACAGATTGACCCATAAGTCAACCTTAACTTATTTAAAAGTCTGGGCACATTTTAAAAAGTCTTCAGCCAAAAATTTAATACTTCCTTTGGGAATCAAGTTCTAAATGTGGAGCACCACAATGAAAGAGGACCAAGTCATATCATGTCTCGTCTAGCATCAGAGAGTAGAGAGACCCACAGAAATCCCTTCATTGAGGATCATACCTAGTCATAAGCATGTGGAAAGAGGCAGATCCCCAAGTTAGCAATTGCTTGTGAAAGACATATTTTCCTTGTGGTGGCCCCCATTTCATTTTGGACAAACTGAGTAAACACAACAACACTATTTGGTATTCGGGTTGTGTAAATTTTATGCTCCAGCACCTGAGGAAATACAATGGGATTACATTTTATTCAACTAGTGCCTGCCACCAACATTACCGGGGGTGGGCGGGCATAAGTATATCTGTTACTTTGGTTTCATACCAGTTTAGCATGCATGGCTTCCTCCTAATAATTCTGGGAATTGTAGTTTAGTAAGGATGCTGAGAAATATCTGTTTAGAGGACCCTCCAGCTCCTTCCCTTACAGAACTATCAGGGGGAAAAGAATTACTATTATCCAGTGTATTACAATGGGAAGATGGGTAACCTGTGGCCTTCCAGGTTTTGTTGGATTCTAGCCCGTATCAGCTCCAGCCAGAATGCCCAATGGTCAGGGATAATGGAAACTAGTCCAGAAACACAATAGGGATAATAGATGTTGTACTCCAAGTATTTCTGTGTGACTCACAGTGTCTATACAGTGCTGCTTCTGTTTGGATTTTTTTTTTTGCTTGTTTTTCTCATTGAATAAACTGTTTTACTTGTTTTTAATTATGTAATCATATTGTAACCTGCCCTGGGACCTTATGATGAGAGGCAGGTATAGAAGTATTATAAATAAGATTCCTCATCCCTGCCATTGACCTATCTCCTCTGCAGTATCAGTGGATGATATTATTAATGAGTACAGATAGCAGTCATATAATAACCCAGCTTCACACTGGATGGCAGTGCCATTGTCACATCACCAACACCTTCCCATTCCCCCCCCCCGCCTTTTCTCTTCCTTGCCTAAGTCCTATTCCACGTAAATTAACAGCAAGGGATTGATGTAAAATAGAACATTGACTTAAGGGATTGCCGTTGCTCAAATCACCAGCACCTCCATGCAACAACTCGATAGAATTTGGAACATGGATCCTAGTAGCACCATGGGAAGACCATTTACCCCATTGGATAATTGTTTTAAAAAAGTTAAATGAGTCTGACCTGGATCATTTCCTCAATTAAGAAAGTCATACAAATGCATTTTTCCCTTAACTTGCCTCCCCCTAGTCCTAAGAAAGCCAACTGGCTCTAGGGCCAAGACCTTGGTGAGCTTGACACAAATGTCAACGTATGACTCATTCCCTTATGCTAGTAAAAGAGCATGTCATTTCATGGCAATAGGACCAGTGAGCTACTCTGGTGGGTGTGAAGAGATTCCGTCTTCCCACTGTACAGTATTCTGTGGAACTCAGTGCAGCCATAGGAGCTGCTGAAGTTAGCACACGTATGCACCAGTGGAATAAGATTAAGGGAAATATTAAAGAAATGCTGGGTTGAAGTCAACTATCTTCTATTCACTTAGGTTAGCCAATGTTTCAATGGGTCTACTCTGAGTAGGGCTAACATTGGCTACAGCCTGCAATTTGGATCTCAGTTTAATAAGGATGCATTGTTTTATCTGAGGCACTTCTCCTAATTTAACCCGTCACAACCTTGCCACACCTATTAAAAGGCTTTCTAACAAACATATGGAGGCAGGTCACCCACCAGCCATTAAAAAACCATTTTCTTCCGTTTCTCAAAATACTCTGCTCACCAGACTGTACTTTGTTGCAGTCACTTAATTTTTTGCTTCTGTTGAAACCTCAGAAATGAACAAGTTGGGCATGGGAAATAATCTGTTTGTTGCTTTTCAGTAACACATGCAAAAATTGTGCCTGACATCATGTTGATTGCCTCATGTCATCATTGAGTTTGCAGTGTCTCACAATTACTTTTCTTACTTTGGCCAATCATATTTTTGTAGGCAGTAGACACCCTGATGTGCGTATCTGTGCTTCACTGCTGTCAGCAATCAGCTCGGTGTTTAGCTTGAGCTGATTAAAACAAACAGGTAAGTTAACTATTTACATATATGGCACCTGTACTGGGCAAAGTACTCAGAATTAATGAATAAATCAATATATTGGACATTTGCACAATAACCTGTTCATTACTGGTGACAGTATAGATTCAATGTTCAAAGACTTCCTAACCTTCTTGATGATTGTGGCTAGTAGCTAACTACCCAACATTGGAAGACGGCTACCAACCTGAATTTAGAGACATGGTGGGGTCGAGTATGGAATGTAGCCCGAATGGAGAAACTGACAAAACAGCTTGGAGCACTGCAGAATATAAAAGGCATGGAGGACTTTGGAACAGTTTGGCATATGTTTATTCAACATGCTAGAAAAGACAGGGTTGCTGTATTGCCACTCGTCACCATCAACAAATGGTTCATGTTGGAATAACCTGTTAGGAAGACATGCAAGATACTCTTGATCTGAACAGAGATCAAAATGAATGGCTGACGTATTTACAAACTTACCTGTTACTTACCTAACTGGGGAAAAAATAACATTATTGGATTGTCTGGAGGGAGGGGGGTTTCCTGTTAGATGTATTTTTGAAAATGCAAAATTAAGTATTCAATTTTAAAAAATTAAATGGCTGCTGGTACATATTTGACACAAGGATGTATTGTGCAAATGTAGCAATTAATATGTTCTTTGAGTATATTTCCTGCATATATTTTTATCTTTCTGAATATTCCCTAAGATACTTAGTTGGAAGGCTTAAAGCATGTTATAAGGTCCCAACTCTCTGATGCTACATTCATTTTGAAAATCAACTTCATACTATATAGTAGCTTTCATGCAACTACTTCAAGGTGTATGGACTTCAAAGGTCATTATTAGGAAATGTATGGAGTAAGTCAGAGAACAATCTGTAGGATTCCAGCATGTTTGAATCTAATTAGCGCACGAAGAGGTTAAACAATAGAGAAAGCTGTTCTATCAGGCTAAGCCCATGTCATCATTCCCTACCTTGAGATGAAATGGGTCACATAACCTTTGTTATCTCTCTATGTGGATTTCAGTATGCAGAGAGCTCTGAGCTGGTCACTCCAGCTGCCCACATGGCTTTAAGGATCTTCTTTAGTGTTAGACCAGAATGGAGTAGAGTAGACCCATTGAAATTAATTAACATTATTAAATCAGGCAAATTAATTTAAGAAGTATACTCTGAGTAAAACTCATCTGTGGTATCATGGCACCTTGAGCAGTCATGTCTTCCCCCAAAGAATCCTGGAAACTGTAATTTGCTAAGGATGCTGAGAGTTATTAGGAGACTCCCTATGTGCTTCTCATTACTAAAGTTCTTAGATCTCTCTGGGAAGAGAGATTGTTAAACCACTTTGGGAACTGTAGCTCTTTGAGAAAATTAGGGATCCCCTAATAACTCTCAGCACCCTTAACAAACTACACTTCCAAGGATTCTTTGGAGGAAGTAATGACTGATTAAAATGGCATGGCAATAAGTGTACTTTTAATGTACTGTATAGTGGAGGTTGGGCCTCAGTTGAATACCAATCTCAGTATTTTGTGGGAGCTTTAGTTTTGGATAATCAAAGTGGACTGAAGTCACCCTAGCATGACAAATCCATTTTAAAAAATCCATACTTTTCAGTTTGGAAAGAAATGGGGAAAGTGTCGATGAACAAATTATTAATGTGAAGATGTGTAAACACCCCACAAGCAAATCAGAATAAAATGCACACCAAAGACCAGACATTGTCTAAGCATTGCGAAAGCTTTGTGCAACCAAATCAGGATGAATGCTGGATAAACAGGTTGCCTGAAGGAGCCCTAGGATCCCCTTCCTTACAAGCAAGCCCTGTTTGGAGAAAACTGGTCACGGCAAAGCAGCTTTTGGACAAAACCATAGCTGGGGAAAATATTAAGCACCCACCTCCTGACTGATACTTCTCTGCTTTAGATCACGTACAACACGCACTTTATATTTATTTGGGAATGCTTAGAAGTCAAATCACTGTTAGAGCTTAAATCTTTTGGTCACAGACGAAAGTGGGTCAGAAGAGAATTGGAGTGCAAACCTGTGCACACTCACCTGGGAGGAAGTCCCATTAAATTTAGTCAGATATGCTTCAAGTAAACTGCGCATTGGATTGGGCTGTTAACTATGAGAGGATTTAGGCCCCTCTAGAAACAAAATGGAGTTGGGCCGTTTACTACCTAATTGCACACCGCTTTAGATCTGTCTTAAGACAAACTTAATATAAATGTCCAGTTAAAAGGTTGCCTCTGAATTTGTTTCTTGGCCTGAAAAGAACAAGAAACCTTTTCTCTTTCTCTCTCTTTTTTTTAACATCATAGTTTTCCATCCTTAACTCTTGTCTCTAGCCTTCCCATTTCTCCTCTTCTTTCCCTCACTGATCTGGATGTGCTTTTTCTGATCAAAGTGAGTATTATTTAGACCAGTCTGACCTACTTCTGCCCTGCAGCTGGCTCCCTTTTGTTATGGATGCAGCTACTATGGCAACCTGTGTAACACATCTGCATCACAAAGAGTAGCTTCAAGTAGACTCATTTCCATTGCTACTTTGGGGTTTTACGGCAGGCTTTTTTCACACACTTGTGGCAGGCTATTTGTTCACATGCTGGGAAATACATTGATGCTCAGTATGAGATGCACTGCATCCAAGATACTGACCTGTATTCTTTTGAAATTACAGCTCTAGGATTCAGGATATTTCATTAGGCCTTCAACACTCTTGATAGTTGAGTGTAAATTGCTACTGTCTGTAAACTGGATGCTTACTAAATGTTAATTTGTGAATATATTACCTGCTTTGTGCTTATAAAGGTATAGTGACTCTGGAGGCAAACACACACATTTTGCCCATTAAAGCTGAAACTTAAAAGTGATAGGCTGTAGCCAGCTAAATCATACTAAAGGTAGATCCATTAAAATCAATGGACTCCATAACTCGATTGATTAGAGTGGCTCTATTCTGAATATGGCTTAGATGGATACAATCCCATAGGGACTATTGTTTTAAGGGGGGGCGACCAAAAGTTTCATGATGTGGGGTGAATTAAAATATACATTTTTGTTAAAATTACTTTGTTTACATAATATTTAATGTTTAATGCCAAAAGGACTGCTAAAGTAAGAGATGACTCACATGACTCCTATATGCTGGGGCTGTTCACCAATTATCTCTTTAAAAGTTTATTAAATGGATTTTTAATACATACGTTAGTAAAAGAAAACAATAGGAAGGAAAAATGTCTAAAATGAAGGAATGTCTATACATATGAATTGTGCATACACGGACTTATTTTTTAAAAAATATGATACCTGGCGAAATGCAAAAGCCTTTGACTGTGTCGACCACAGCAAACTATGGCAAGTTCTTAAAGAAATGGGAGTGCCTGATCACCTCATCTGTCTCCTGAGAAATCTCTATGTGGGACAAGAAGCTACAGTTAGAACTGGATATGGAACAACTGATTAGTTCAAAATTGGGAAAGGAGTACGACAAGGCTGCATTTTGTCTCCCTGCTTATTTAATTTGTATGCAGAATACATCATGCGAAAGGCTGGGCTGGATGAATCCCAAGCTGGAATTAAGATTGCCGGAAGAAATATCAACAACCTCAGATATGCAGATGACACAACCTTGATGGCAGAAAGTGAGGAGGAATTAAAGAACCTTTTAATGAGGGTGAAAGAGGAGAGCGCAAAATATGGTCTGAAGCTCAACATCAAAAAAACGAAGATCATGGCCACTGGTCCCATCACCTCCTGGCAAATAGAAGGGGAAGAAATGGAGGCAGTGAGAGATTTTACTTTCTTGGGCTCCATGATCACTGCAGATGGTGACAGCAGCCACGAAATTAAAAGACGCCTGCTTCTTGGGAGAAGGGCAATGACAGGCCTAGACAGCATCTGGAGAAGTAGAGACATCACCTTGCCAACAAAGGTCCGTATAGTTAAAGCCATGGTTTTCCCAGTAGTGATGTATGGAAGTGAGAGCTGGACCATAAAGAAGGCTGATCGCCGAAGAATTGATGCTTTTGAATTATGGTGCTGGAGAAGACTCTTGAGAGTCCCATGGACTGCAAGAAGATCAAACGCATCCATTCTTAAGGAAATCAGCCCTGAGTGCTCACTGGAAGGACAGATCGTGAAGCTGAGGCTCCAGTACTTTGGCCACCTCATGAGAAGAGAAGACTCCCTGGAGAAGACCCTGATGCTGGGAAAGATGGAGGGCACAAGGAGAAGGGGGCGACAGAGGACGAGATGGTTGGATAGTGTTTTCGAGGTTACCAGCATGAGTTTGACCAAACTGCGGGAGGTAGTGGAGGACAGAGGTGCCTGGCGTGCTCTGGTCCATGGGGTCACGAAGAGTCGGACACGACTAAACGACTAAACAAGGGTCCACAAGACAGGGACAATTAGAAGGGGCCACTAGGGTCATCCAGTTCAATCCCCTGCAATACAGAAATCTTTTTGCCCAATGTGGAACCCAGGACCCTGAGATCAACAGTCTCATGATCTACCAAAGAAGCTATCCCTTCAGGATTAGTTGAGATGCAGGGAGCTTCAGTCTAGGATATCTGTACAGCCTGTAGAATGGCAAGTCCTTCAGGTATGTAAAATGACTTAAGTTTTGCTTGTTTTCAGCCACACCTAACAATCAAGCAGGGTTGAATCTGTGCTTAAAGTTTTGGTTGATTAATTAAAGGCTGCAGATTTAATCCGCACATTAGTATACCAGCGGCAAGTATTCACATGAGAGGGATAGGGTTTGAATGTCTGTTTTTTGTTTGTTTGCATTTTCAAAAAGAGAAACAGAGAGCATACTTAACCCCCCTCCGCCTCCCCCATCCCACTTACAACTTCGTACCAAATACAGCATATATACATATACCATATGACTTCCCTTCCACCCTTTTCCTGGTTCCTTTGCTTTTCCACTACTCTGCATAATCCACATCTTTTTAATCATCCAGTTTGTTATCTATTAAAAACTCTTTATCTATTTCAACTCTGCTAGATTTACTCAAGACCTGCTAAGCTATGTATTTGTTTATAAAATATTCAATAAACATTATCCATTCAAAGCTTTGGTTGATTAATTGAAGCCTGCAGATTTAATCCGAACAAACATACGTTAGTACCAGTGGCAAGTATTAGCATGAGAAGTATAGGGTTTGAATGTCTGTTGATGGGTCATGTGAGTATTCTCAAGCTGTGCCCACCCCCAAATATCTTGGCTACGCACATGGTTGGTTGCACAACGTTTAGCTAAACA